CTTGCTGTTGACCACAGACTCACTGGACCCTTCCCTGACGAGCCGTTTGAGCCTAGTGGTCCTTACGCAGAGCTTGTGGGCTGCCTCATGTACCTAATGACTTGTACTCGCCCGGACCTCGCCTTCCCTCTCAGCATCCTTGCACGCTTTGTTGCGCCAGGGAGACACCGTCCAGTTCACTGGACAGCTGCTGTGAGGGTGGCGAAGTACCTAGCGACGACATCAGGCGTGGGGCTGGTTCTTGGAGGGCAGCAGTCTGTTGTACTTACTGGACACTGTGACTCTTCTTACGCCGACGACACCAAGACTCACAGGTCTACTCGGGGGTACTGATTCAGCCTGGGCTCTGGAGCTGTTTCGTGGAGGTCCACGCGTTCCTCCTCGGTCTCGACCTCTACTGCTGAGGCCGAGATCTACGCTGGAGCCATGGCTGCACAGGAGCTGCGTTGGTTGACCTTCTTGCTCACCGACCTTGGTGAGTGGCCGAGCTCTGCACGACCTTGTTCACTGACAACAAGGCGTCAATTCTCCTCTTTCGAGAGCCGCGACTGGAGAGCAGAGTGAAGCACATCAACGTCAGGTACTTTCTTCTGCGAGAGTTGCAGAGGCGTGGACAGGCTCGCTTCGACTTTGTGGAGTCCGAGGCCAACACTGCAGACATCTTCACCAAGGCGCTTCCGCCTTGTAACCACCAGAGGTGTTGTGTGCAGTTAGGTCACGTTGACACAGGTTCTCGCCTTGCGTAGTCTTGAGTTCTCTGCTTGCTTCGTTTGTACGCTTTATATATACCTCTGTGAACTCTTGAACTGACCTTGTAGCTCTTTTGCTTGTGCTCGGAGTGTGTGGTGACGTTGTGATCCACCCTGAGCTTTGTTTCTTTGTGACTGGTCTTGTGACCGTACACTTTTGGTTTTGCTTGACACCCCTCACTTAGACTATGGGGGTGTGTCAAATGTTGTAGTCTTAGTGATGTGTGTTATAGGGGGTACAACTATTAGGGTTATGTTTATGTACCCCAACCAACCTTAGTAAAAAAAACACTTTCATTCTTGACATGTACCCCTTAGAGTACATGGCTAGCTAGGTCGATTGGTATTCCCTTGTAATCTTATTTATAGTGCTGTATTTGCATGTTTTTATTATCTCAAGCATTTTACATTTACTCTGCTATTGAGGTCAAGGGCCCACCACTACACAACTGTGTGCGAACCTTCCTGAGGTGATCCTAGGCACGATCAACTTCTGATCGCAACAGAAATAACGTAGCTGAACGGTATAAGTGTTCACACAGGGCTGATTTTATCAGGGTAATTACCCTTATTTCAGGGTGATTTTAGACTTGTCACATTCTGGTCCCTTTAATTTCAGGTTTAACGACTTCTGAACATTGATCCTGTCAGAGTAGTACTTTAGCGAACCCTGAAATTTTGTATACACTCACAGAGTAGTGTTCTTAAGGACCCTGTCCATACAGAGTATGCGTCTTGTTGACCCTGAATGCAACGTTATCGGGATGAAGCTTCCATGAATCTTCGTCCTGATAACCCCCATGTGCGTAATCATGATTACGATTCCACCCATCTCAGGGACCCCATGCGCGCAATCCAGGTTATCGCAGTACACTACGTACCTGTTAACATGACTAAACATTTGGTTTCTGATTTCTGTTGAGCTGTAAACTTAAACCGAGCAAACAAATCGCGATCTGGCGGATCGCAGAATGATTCGGCAGGAGATGAAAAAAAAACCATCCGTAGTGAAACACCGTATTGCCATGTGACTGATAGTTTTTAGTAATCAGCTGTTTTTCGCTAACTATCGAAAAAAACATGTGTAAGTTAGAATACTTTGTGAAAATAAACGAGACACTGATATTGAGAAACGTACCCCCCCCACCAAAACCAGGTCGAGTCTTGACACCCCTCCCATGAGCAGCCCGTCCCCCCATTTCCTCCCCCCCTTCTCCCCTTTCTCTTATGCGGACGACCCGCAGTCACGACCCCACCCAACCCACTCACTTGGTCCCTCCCCTTTTGCACACCCCTGGCTCTCGCCCCTTGCGCTCCTAGGAGATCCTCCCACGCCACATGCACTCCCTCCAGCCAATCCAGCCCAATCCAACTAGATTTCTCGCGTCAAACACGTCACTGTTTTTCTCGCCAAACTGGAAAGAAGAAGAAAAAAATCAACCCTGATTTCAATTCGCCAACCCTGACAGTTCAGACATACAATTTCGTGAACCCTGAACATCGCAAGAAGGCTCAAGCTTGGCGTTTTGCGGAAAATGTTGTGAAAGTTTAAAAAGAAGAAGGAGGTTGCACTAGCAAGAATGGGGATACAAATAGCAAAACCCTAGAAGAGTTGTACTCGCTATAGAGCACCCCACTACAGGCTAGAGCATAATATTCTGACACACCCCCATAGCCAAAGTGGGGTGTAATCAGCAGAGCAAGCAAAAGAAAACAAGCTCAGGGTGGATCACAATGTCACCACACATTCTGAGCACAAGTACAAGAGGTAGCAGTTTTATAGTTAACAAATGTAAGCAAAGCTAGAGGCTATCACAGAGGGCAAGTGAGGAGGAGGAGAGACAGTGGGGGAGAGAAGATGGGAGGCGACTGCTGACGCTGCAGACACACAGACGAGCTGCTGGCTCAGTGGCTACCGGAACAGCGCTCCGGACTACTGGGGTAACTGGCCCCGCGGCTAAAAGTAGCGGCAGACGAGCAACGGACCCACGGGCGACTGGCGACTACCGGAGATTGTAGCCTCCGGACTGCTGCTGCTGCTGACGACACGACGACCGCCTCCATTCAACCTCCCCCAACTGTCCCACCCCCATTTCACACACCCCCTGTTCAAACCCTAGCTCTACTCACACTCCACCCCCCTAGCACCACTCCGTACACTCCCACACATCCACCCCCCTCAGCGACAGCTGCAGCAGTGGGAGACGAAGGAGGAGGAGGAGCAGGCGACGCCACACACCCGCCACTCCCCAACCGCCACCCCCCAACCGCCACCCCCCAAACCCTAAAAACAGGGTAGGGAGGTAGGGGGGGGGGGCAACGCGCGGCCCCCTGTAGACTCCCCTCCCGTCGCCCGTCGCGGCGCCCTGGGGGGGGCCGCCCGGGGCAGGTCGGGGCCGGGGCAGGTCCGGGACGGGGCGGGGCAGCAGGGGCCGCGCAAGGCTCCCCTGGGCAGCGCGACGGGGCAGCAGGGCCGCGCGACGGGGCAGCAGGGGCCGCGCGCGGCTCCCCTGGGCGGCGCGACGGGGCTGCAGGGGCCGCGCGACGGTGCGACGTGCGGGTCCCCGTCGCCCGTCGCAGCGCCTCCCGGGGGCGACGCGGCGAGTGACGGGGCAGAAACCCGTCGCGCGCCTCGGGGCGCACGGCGGGCAGAAAACCGCCGCGCGCCTCGGGGCGCACGGCGGGCAGAAAACCGCCGCGCGCCTCGGGGCGCACGGCGGGCATAATATTCTGACAAATGTGCCTTCAGGGTAAAAAAAAAATTGCGCGATTGAAAACAGGGTAGCCATATTTGAATCGTCAGCCCTGTGTTCACATTTACACATGTGCATTCATCACAACATTGTTACGGTATTACTTGTTCTGCCCATGTCTTCAAAGAACTCGTACGGTATAGTATTGCTGCCAGTATAACAAGTCAAGCACTCACCAGTTCGGTAACCCCTAGGCCGGTATATCCTGTAGGCCGTTCATTTTCTTGCAAATGACACCACACCATCCATCCATCCACACCACCACACCATCCATCCTGTGGGCAGCACATGGTGGGCTCCGAGCGTTACATATCCAACGCCGTCGCCACCCCCGCCGTCACCTATGTCACCGTGGCGAACAACACGCACCTGCGCGCAAGCGCGCAAGGCATTGTAGTACTCTCAGCCCATGGGAGCAGAACGCACATCACGTTGAACGACGTGCTGATCGTGCAGAACCTGCGTTTTAATCTCCTCTCGGCGGTGCAGCTCATGGATTGCGGGGTCGACCTCAGCACCGACCCCGAGATGTCAAACTTATGTTATAGCATGTTTAGGCTATAGTGGGTAGGACAATAGGGGGTACTACATTTCTAGGTTTCCCTATTTGTACCCAACTCATTTCTAGTCATTTCATTCCTCGTACTTCTCTCACATGGTATAGAGCGAGTTCCCTAGTGGGACCGGTTTTTTTTTAGGGCCCACCACTACGAATTTTTTTTTCCTTACCTGCCCGAAGCGCGCTTCGCTCCTGCCTTAGTTGCGCCCCTTGCGCCTGCCCTCCCGTCGCGTGCTCTGCCCTTAGCGGCCCGTCGCGCCCCTTACGGCCCCTTCGCGGCTCCTTCTCGGCCCTTCGCGGCCCCTCTTGCGGCCCTTCGCGGCCCCTTCGCGGCCCTTCGCGGCCCCCTCACGGCCCTTCGCGGCCCCTTCGCGGCCCTTCGCGGCCCCCTCACGGCCCTTCGCGGCCCCTTCGCGGCTCTTCGCAGCCCCCTCACGGCCCTTCGCGGCCCTTCGCGGCCCCTTCGCGGCCCTTCGCGGCCCCCCTTCGCGGCCCTTCGCGGCTCTGCCGCCCCGTCGTCGCCGCCCCTGCAGCAGCTGCCTTCGCCCCTGTTGCCGCCGTAGCGGCTCTGCCGCCCCGTCGTCGCCGTCCCTGCAGCAGCTGCCGTCCCTACTGCAGCAGCAGCTGCCACCGTAGCGGCCCTGCTGCCGCTGCCGAGCCTGCAGCCGCCCTGCCGACGCGCCTGTCCCGGCCCTGCCCTGCCGCCTCGCCACGGCCCCTCCTTCTGGCGGCCCCCTGCTCTGCCGACGCGCCCCGGCCCAGCCCCACCAGTAGCGGCCCACCACTTCCGCCACTGGTAAGTGCACCGCCGCACCCGCGCCGCCCTGCCTAGCCGAGCCGCCCTACCGAACCGCGCCGCCCTACCGAACCGCCCGCTCTGCCGAGTCGCGCTGCTACTGCTACTGCTGCCGCTAGGCCACAGCTGCTGCTCCTGCTGCTATGGCAAACCCTAATGTACTCACCTTCGATGCTAAGGGTCGAGCGGTCGATTTTGAGGTCTGGGTAGATGATTTGCAGCTGTTCCTGCAGTGCGATAGCAAGGATGGAGTCTCATTGTTTGATCTCACTTCTGGCGCCTCTGCTGCACCTGCTGCTGATGCTGCCAGTACTGTTCGCTCACAGTGGACCGCGCGCGATGCTGCTGCCCGTCTTGCTGTCCGTAGTCACCTGCCGTCTGCTGAGCGTGCGCACTTTAGCCAGTACAAGTCTGCTAGCACTCTGTACACTGCTGTTGTTGCGCGCTACTCCTCCCCTGCCACTGCTGCCCTTAGCCGCCTCATGCTGCCGTACCTGTTCCCTGACCTAGCCGCTTTTGCCACAGTCGCTGACCTCATTACGCACCTCCGCACTAGTGACACCCGCTACCGCGCTGCGCTTCCTGCCGAGTTCTACGCCAAGAACCCCCCCCCTATGTACATCACTCTCTACTACCTCGTCACCCGGCTCCCTGACTCCCTTTGCTCGGTCAGGGACCACTTCCTCTCCCTTTGCCCCACCACGCTCACCGTTGACCTCCTCGAGGAGCGCCTCCTTGCAGCTGAGAAGAGTATAGTCGCTGTAGGAGCCTCTCGTGGTGACCCTCGTGCCCCTTTCTTTGAGGGGTGCTCCCCCGTCCCTCTTTTGCCCTCTGTTGCCTCTGCTGCTGCTGTCGACCTCGTTGGCACCGAGTCGGTCGGCGCTGCGTCTGCTCCTAGTGGCAGGCGCCGCAACAGCAAGGGCAAGGGGGGTGGAGGGGATGGCGGGGGCGGCGGTAGTGGCGGTGGAGGAGGCGGAGGGGGTGGGGGTGGAGGTGGGAGTGGTGGCGTGAGTGGGGGCTTCGGTGGCAGCGGTGGAGGTGGAGGCGGCGGAGGCAGCGGGAGTGGGGGTGGAGGTGGCGGCGGCGGCGGAGGAGGTGGGGGTGGCGGGGGTGGTGGTGGGAAGCGGGGAGGCTCTAGCAGTGGCCAGCGCCAGCAGTAGCAGCGCTCCCGTGAGACCCCATCGCCTCAGCAGCTTCGTGAGTGGTACGCTGGGCGTGGGAGGTCTGGGGGTGCTGGTCCCTGCACCTACGTTCTTCGCACCGGCGACCGCAGTGGAGAGACGTGCGGAGGCCCGCACACCACACCACGCTGCTTCGGCCGCCTGACTGACGCCTGGCGTACTCAGTTCCCTGGCTCCGCTGAGATCCCTCGCTGGGATATTCTGCTTAAGTCGGGGGTTGCTATCTTTGATCTTGATTATGATGCTGTGTCTATTAGTGCTGAGGGTGACTGTTACCTGTGTGTTCCGTCCGACCCGGGCATTGAGGCTGCTGCTCTAGGTGCTAGTGAGTCTGCTGCTCCAGGTGCTGGTGAGGCTGCTCTCTCAGGTACCGCGTCGACTCAGGTCTTGCACACTTTCACCCTTGACTCGGGTGCTTCCCGTTCCTTCTTTCGCGACTGCACCACACTCTCGCCGCTCAGTCGGCCGGTGGCAGTCTCTCTGGCTGACCCCTCTGGGGAACCAGTTGTGGCCCGTTCCTCCACTGTCCTCCCATGTCCTGCTGCTCCGTCCGGCTCGCTGTCTGGTCTTCACCTCCCCTCGTTCTCTACGAACTTGGTGACGGGTGCTGATCTTCAGGATGGGGGTGTTCACCAGTTCACCCCTGCCTACCAGCGTGTGACGCACTGCACGTGTGCTCGGACAGGCCGTCACCTGGCCACGTTCACCCGTAGGCCAGGGTCCAGCCTGTACACCCTTACCACTGCGTCTCCTCCTAGTCAGGTAGCCGCGTCGGGTCAGGTGTTTGCTGCAGCGTCCCGGTCTGGCCCTGAGTCTGCCCCCTGCTCGTGTCGCCTCCTGGCCCACGAGACTCTCCTTTGGCACCACCGCCTTGGTCACCCCTCCCTGCCTCGTCTTCGAGGCATGGCCTCCCGTGTCCTGGTCTCAGGTCTTCCTGAGTCCCTCCCACCTCTTCCTCCGGGGCCTGCCCCTACCTGCGTTCCCTGCGTCGAGGGCCGGCAGCGCGCCGCTCCTCACTCCTCCGAGTTTCCCCCCACAGAGGCTCCCCTGCAGACTCTTCACATGGACGTGTGGGGCCCAGCCCGCGTCCGTGGACAGGGTCACGAGCGTTACTTCCTGCTGGTTGTTGACGACTACTCGCGTTACACCACGGTCTTCCCCTTGCGCCGCAAGGGTGAGGTCACTGAGGTGTTGATCGACTGGATCCGCGCTGCTCGTCTCCAGCTCAGAGAGAGTTTCGGCTCGGACTTTCCTGTTGTGCGTCTGCACTCAGACAGAGGTGGAGAGTTTTCCTCTGACCTTCTGCGGGCCTTCTGTCGGGCGGAGGGCATCCGCCAGACGTTCACGCTTCCGGCCTCTCCACAGCAAAATGGGATTGCTGAGCGCCGCATTGGCATGGTCATGGATGTCGCTCGTACGTCCATGATCCATGCGGCTGCTCCCCATTTTCTGTGGCCGTTCGCGGTTCAGTACGCGGCGCATCAGATCAACCTCCAGCCCCGGGTCTCCATGCCGGAGACCACCCCCACTCTGCGGTGGACGGGGAAGGTTGGCGATGCGTCGGTGTTCCGTGTCTGGGGATCTCGAGCTTTTGTCCGCGACTTGTCTGCGGACAAGCTGTCCTCCCGTGCCGTTCCCTGCGTCTTCCTTTGCTTCCCCCCTGACGCGCCTGGTTGGCAGTTTTACGACCCCACCTCGCGCCGTGTTCTGTCCTCTCAGGACGTCACGTTTGACGAGTCGGTTCCTTACTACCGTCTCTTCCCCTACCGCACTGCCCCCCTCCCCCCCCCGCCGCTCTTCCTCGCGCCAGGTCCTCCTCCGGTAGACCCCCTCCCCCCTCAGGGTCCTGCCCCCTCAGGTGTGTCTCAGGTAGACGCAGTCGAGCCTGTTGAGGTAGCTGTTGACTCTGGTGCTGCTAGGGGTGCTGAGCCTGAGGGTGCCGGGTCTGGGGGTGCTGAGCCTGGGGGTGCTGAGCCTGGGGTTGCTGAGTCTGGGGGTGCTGAGCCTGGGGGTGCTGAGCCTGGGGGTGCTGGACCCTGAGGGGTCTTCGTGCTGGACCCTGAGGGGTCTCCACGGCAGCTTCGTGAGTGGTACGCTCGGCGCTGTAGCCGTGCTGCTGGAGCTGGGGGGCCTACTGCTGGAGGTGCTGCTGGTGCTGGAGCTGCTGGAGGTGCTGCTGGTGCTGGAGCTGCTGGAGGTGCTGCTGGTGCTGGAGCTGCTGGTGGTGCTGCTGGAGGTGCTGTTGGTGCTGGTGCTGCTGGAGGTGCTGCTGGTGCTGGTGCTGCTGGAGGTGCTGCTGGTGCTGGTGCTGCTGGAGCTGCTGCTGGTGCTGGAGCTGCTGGAGGTGCTGCTGGTGCTGGAGCTGCTGGAGGTGCTGCTGGTTCTGGAGCTGCTAGAGCCGCTGGTCCTGGAGGTGCTCGTACTGGAGGTACTGGAGGTACTGGAGCTGCTGGGACTGGAGCTGCTGCGGGAGTTGGAGCTGGAGGTGCTGGAGGTGCTGGAGCTGCTGGTGGTGCTGCGGGAGTTGTAGTTGGAGACCCTGGGGCTGAGGGTGCTGGTGCTGTCTCTGCTGGTTCAGGAGGTGCTGCGAGGCCGCGGCCGTACTACGTTCCGCTCCTTCAGCAGGTTCTTGGCCTCCCGCCCTCTACTGGTCCTACTCCTCCCCTACTGAGTCCACCGCCTGTCCAGTCGCAGTCACAGTTTCAGCTTGCTTCTCCGCTGCCTGGTCCTTCTCCTTACGCTGGGCCGACTAGAGGTCTTACGGAGCGTCGTGAGCCTGAGTCTCGTCCAGCGTCGCCTGAGTCTCGTCCTGGGTCACCTGTCCGAGCTGTCCGCGCTGGTCGTCGTGTTCCGCGTGAGCGTCCTCCTCCTGTCCCTGGCACTCACTATATGACTCTGCGTCCTTCCACTGCTCCACAGCATGTCCCTCTGCCGTCACCTCCTGCGTCTTCTCTTCCTGACGGTCTGGACCCGGAGTCTGACTCTCTTCGTGCTGCCAGTCCTACTGTCACACGTTTCCTCGCTACTGTTGTCACTGACCCTTCCTTTGAGTCCGCTGCTGCGTCTGCTCTAGTTGCTGAGCTTGTTGACTTTGCTGCCGCCTGTCGTCTAGACTACGCCGCTAGCCTTGTTGCAGAGTCTGAGTCTGAGTCTGTCTGTCCTCCGTCCGTCGGGGGTGAGTGTGCTCTAGGCACGGACGTCCTTGAGGACAGACAGGAGGAGTTTGAGTGCTTTGCCGCTGCTTTACCTCATCTCGTGTCCATGCTGATTGCCCCTGAGGGAGACCCGGATGCACCAGACATCCCGATCCCGCGCTCTTACGCAGAGGCGATAGAGGGTCCCTACTCCTCTCAGTGGCAGTCGGCCATGGACGTAGAGATGGCTTCCTGGAAGTCCACAGGCACCTACGTCGACGAGGTTCCCCCACCTGGGGCGAACATCGTCAGTGGCACGTGGATTTTCAGGGTGAAGCGGCCGCCGGGTTCTCCGCCTGTCTTCAAGGCGCGTTACGTTGCACGAGGCTTCAGTCAGCGTGAGGGAGTTGACTTCTTCCAGACCTTCTCCCCGACCCCGAAGATGACCACTCTTCGGGTTCTGCTGCACGTCGCCGCTCAGCGTGACTACGAGCTCCACTCTCTTGACTTCAGCACTGCTTTCCTACAGGGCAGCCTGCACGAGGAGATCTGGCTGCGCCGCCCACCTGGCTTCACTGGGTCGTTTCCTCCTGGTACCCAGTGGAGCCTCCGGCGGCCAGTCTACGGTCTCCGCCAGGCACCCCGTGAGTGGCACGACACACTGAGGACTACTCTTGCTGCTCTTGGGTTTGCTCCTTCTACTGCTGACCCGTCGCTGTTTCTACGCATCGACACCACTCTGCCGCCGTTCTACGTTCTCGTGTACGTAGACGACCTGGTCTTTGCTACTGCTGACACTGAGGCACTCGCCCACGTGAAGTCGGAGCTGCAGAAGAGACACACGTGCACAGACATGAAAAATTATGAAATAAATTTCAAATTTTAAAGATTATGACAATACACGTAAAGGAGAATGCAGTAAGGAGTCTATCGCTCCTTATATTGTGGCAGGTTTACGGACCTGCCACCTAGTCCAAAAATCATTTATAGATCTAGTTTAGAACAGCACACCTACCTAAACCTTGCACCCTTTACTACTACTCATCCGCCATTGCTACTAAGATTATCCTGACCCTCGTTTCACTCCACATGACGAGATCGTCACTTCTTGAGGTTGATGCGGTGGCGAGTTTACAGTACTTGTGCAGGGCAAATCGCGAATTATGTTAGTAGTGAGACGCTGGTGCGAATGGCGAGATTTCGGCATGCTATTGCTGTCTGCGCCTTGGGGCTGCTGCTGATGTTACGAGACCCTGCTATTGCTGATGCTATGCAACCGCTGCTTCTCACGCACTGTCATTAGTGTTGACGTGCGGCCTGCCGTTCCTCCCACGCGATCTGGTGCTGCCGCTACGAGATCTGGTACTGTCGCTGCGCGATCTGAGGTCGGTGCTCGCGATCTTCTCCTGTTACGAAATCTGCTGCCGGTGCTCGCGATCTGCTGCTTTGCTCACGATTTGCTGCTGCAGCCTCGAGATTTGCTGCTTTGCTCACGATTTGCTGCTGCAGCCTCGAGATTTGCTGCTGGTGCTCACGATTTGCTGCTGCAGCTTCGAGATTTGCTGCTGGTGCTCACGATTTGCTGCTGCAGCTTCGAGATTTGCTGCTGGTGCTCATGATTGCTGCTGGCGCTCGCGAATCGCTGCTTGCACGCGAGATTTCCTGCTGACGCGGAGATATGCTGCTGGAGGTTTGCTGCTGGAGCCCGAGATTTGCTCCTAGCGCGCGAATTTCTGCTGCTGGAACGCTAGATTCTGCTACTGGCGTGCGAGATTTGCTGCTGGCGCGGAGATCTGCTGCTGGCGCGGAGGTTTGCTGCTGGCGCTCGAGATTTGCTCCAGGCGCGCGAGATTCTGCTGCTGACGCGCTAGATTTTGCTGCTGGCGCGCGAGATCTGCTGGTGTAGCTGCGCGATCTGCTCCTGCTGCGAGATCAGCTGCTTTCCCTCGAGATTTGCTGCTGGTGCTCAAAATCCGCTGCTGCTGCTGCGATATCTGCTGGTGGTGCAGCGCGATCTGCTGCTACTGTCGTGCGATCTGCTGCGGGTACTATCTAGATCGCCACTAGTGGTGCTGCAGTGGCTGGTGGGGACAGCAGTGAAATTTCGAGCTGCTTCTGCTGCTGGTGCTGCACTAAGCACAATATCGCTATTGGTGACAAGACAGAAATTGTGGTGACACGAGGCCGATTAAGATCATGATATTTTTCCATTTCTGGCCGATTAAAGCGGCAGTATACATTTGGCAGGGCCGTTGGAGGGTTTAGGGTTCCCAAAACGATTTCGCCCCAGCAGAAGTACCATTTATAAACTTTTGGCTCAGGCCCTGCGATGGCCGTATTAAGGCCACGGGCCTATGAAGATTATGATATCAAAATATTATGGCCTTGAAATTATGACCCTATCCAAGGGAGAGATCAAGAAACTGGCATGATTGTCGAATATAATGTTACAAGAGGTTATGCAACGCATACGATTCTATGCATAAATCAATGTTCATTGGAATTAAAAGCTTGGTATTTTGGCCATTTGCTAGGGCTACGTTTTGTGATACGCCCCTTCCCCTTCATAGGGTGTTGAGCTGAGCATTTTATCAAGCTTTAAATTATCCACACAAATGTTGAGATACGGTATATTTCTGTTTGAAATGAAGTTTCCGCATGTTGTGCTCCTTGACAAACGTGCACTGCACGAAAAAGTTGTCAATAATTGCCGCTCGTATTTGCGTTTACGCTCATTCGGTGAGATTCACTTGACTGAAAAAAAAAAAAAAAACAAAAAAAAAAAAACACGGTCGGCCGATAGAGCCCTGTCCAGCTCTAATTTGCCCTATATGGCTCTGAGGAACCTATATCAACCACCGTAGAGGTTCTCCCCAGGCCTCTGGTGGATGTCCTTCTGGGACATATGAGTATCGCGTGTTTACATGCTCCTTTTCCCGGATGCTGGCTAGCTCAGCCATATTTCTAGATAGATCTATGAAAGTGCTTTGCACATTGATTACGATCAACATATAACCTTGACCTCTATGGCTTTGCCACTATTGTACTTTGATAGTTATGTGTTTTGCACTGATGTGGCTAAAACATCATGGTTGTACCAATCATTTGGCACTACGCAGTTTTTTTGTCGCGATCGTAATCAAGTTCTAAGTTGTTGGTCGAGTGAGTGAGACCAATTGTTCAGAAAAATGAAGTTTTTCCATAGCTATGTTGCAGTCGCGCACAGCTTGGCCAACATACTTGTTGTGGTCAATTACTTGTGTTCCTACCCTATTTTAACAATTGCAAATGCGGTAACGGCAGTCACGGAAATGTGGGACACGTTTAATTCACCATTACTATATTGTCAATCATACAACGACGCTTCTACGTTGAGATTGCTGATGTTTGGCAACCTATAACTGTGCAAAAGGTTGCATTTCGGCACATTCTTATAGTGGGCACGGGCCTAGCGGCGGAATCGTCACCAAGGTTCTTGTTGTCATATTGGGCTCTCGAGCAGCATGCGTGGATACATGCTCAATGGTACGACTCCATATCTACATTCCGTTAAGGAGACAAGTCGCCAATTTGGATATTTGAAACCGGAATGGTAATTGATCATCCTCCGATCAGATGTTTAACATCCGCTCAAATCAAGTTGCGTACCTAAACGGAGAGTGTCACTGAGGCACTTGGTGTGCGAGATCACGATGAGTCCATTTTTCAACGTCTTACAAACCAGGTTGTCACATGTATGTCAGAGGTCCACTGGAGATCCCCGATTGATCCTAGGGAAGGGTTACAGGCACGTTGGCCTAGGGGGTTATGGACGCACTGACCCCGCTACTTATCAAGCCCTTTTATCCCAATGGTCTAGTGGTTGGGATTCTGACAATGTAAGCCGCCACATGGACGCTGTTAACAGCCGCTCCTTGAGCACACTGCCATGGAAACAACGTGGTGAATCATGCGCGTAATATCACATGTTCATAGTACATCATCTATTGTCACTGTATGCAACGAAACAGGTCCCGCCTTATATTCATGGTTGGGGGAAAGGGGATGCGTATTACGCCCATGCAAATGTATGATGCCCCATTATGAAGCATTATTGCTATCTAAGGTTGAGATGCCTATATGTCATGCGTAATCACCTGCATAGCATGCTACCCATTCGATATTGATCATTGGAGTGCGACAATGGCACGATCTCATCTTCAGGGTTCCTCAATCTCCTCACCCTTTGTGAGCAGAGTTACTTTACTCACTTGGGTGCTAACATCAATAGTGCACTCGAACGACCACTCCTATCTTGCAAAAGCCATGTACATGCTTGCCACAGGCTTGAAATCACATTCCTATCTCATCGTGCTATTGCACACTGTTGGCATACTGTCAGTCTCGCCCACATGGTTACATGCTGTATACTTGCGTATCAATGGCCAACAACTTCGAAAGTGGAAAAAGAGGTTCGAGATTCTCTGGCGGGATGGATGCCCCCCTCACTGCTGCTGACTCAACACCATAATTCTTGGCACAGTATATGAAATCGTGCTAAGCTCTTACTAGTGCCTCATACTTCGTCACCCCGTCGTTTTTATCTTCGGAACATCTCTACCTTCCGTTAAGAAGCGTACGGCATCCTTCATAGGAAATCATTCCCGTACCTAATGTCTCGTGTTACCTATGACGACTGCTCTCCATACTCTTTGAAGAGTATTGTCTTAATATGAAAAAATATGAAATAAATTTCAAAATTTAAAGATTATGACAATACACGTAAAGGAGAATGCAGTAAGGAGTCTATCGCTCCTTATATTGTGGCAGGTTTACGGACCTGCCACCTAGTCCAAAAATCATTTATAGATCTAGTTTAGAACCCACCCCCCCCTCCCATATAGATTTATATTCATTGATACATAGTTTGGATACCTACAATTTCTCTTTGTTATTTTACTTTGTAATATGCAATCTAGTGTGCTGTACGATAAGATCTGAAATGCTATGACGACTGCTCATGACGACTGCTCTGCATACTCTTTGAAGAGTATTGTCTTAATCTGGGTGAGCTGACAAAGCTATCTTGGCTTGCGGATCACCCGGGACAGAGCACAGCGCACCATTACCTTGACTCAGTCACACATGGTGCAGCAGGTCCTTCAGCGCTTCCGCTTCACGTACTCCTCGCCATAGTCCACTCCTCTGCCTACCGGTCACTCGCTCTCAGCTCCACCTTTTGACGAGTCCGTAGAGCCGAGTGGCCCGTATCCAGAGCTTGTGGGCTGCCTCATGTACCTGATGACCTGCACTCGACCTGACCTAGCCTACCCTCTTAGCATCCTAGCACGTTATGTCGCTCCTGGCCGACACAGGAAGGAGCACATGGATGCTGCTACTTGTGCAGTACTTCGGGCATGGGGCTCGTGCTTGGAGGGCGAGGTCCAGTTGTCCTCACTGGTCACGCTGACGCTTCTCGGGCTGACGACTTGACTACGCAGCGGTCGTCACAGGGTTACACCTTCAGCCTTGGCTCCGGCTCTGTTTCTTGGCGGTCTACCCGCCCGTCTTCTGTTCTCAGCTCCAGTTGTGAGGCTGAGATCTACGCTGGGGCCATGGCTGCACAGGAGTTATGCTGGCTCACCTACCTGCTGACTGACCTTGGAGAGCCGCCTCGTTCTCCTCCAGTGCTGTACGTCGACAACAAGGCCATGATTGCCTTGTGTCAGGAGCACAGACTGGAGCACAGAACGAAGCACATCGCTCTGCGCTACTTCCTTGCTCAAGAGTTGCAGCAGCGTGGTCAGCTTCGTCTTGCTTACGTGGCCACTCGGGCCAACACTGCTGATGTCTTCACCAAGGTGCTTCAGCCTTGTGATCATCAGCGTTTTTGTACTGTTCTAGGCC